ACAGGATGGGGATCATCTGTACATTTCCTTTTTTTAGAATGGGAACTTCCCTGTGTGTGGACACTGAGTCAAATATAAGTCACTGGGAAATTCTGGAAATCAGCAGGCTTGTGACAAGCATGAGTCATTCTGAGATCAGTTTTGTTTTATGTATCAAAGTAAGGAAGTGTTCTTTATTTTTATGTTTTAAGTTACTTTCTTTATAAATCTATGCAGTCTCAGTCTTGCATTCCTGCAGTGTCATGTCCATTTTGTTCTAAAGTCAAAAACAATGATCATAAACGGAAGGTGGGCATTTTGACAGGACTTCTTTCATCTTTTTATTTTTGTTAATATGTATCGGGATTGAAATAGGTATTGTGCCACTTTCTGTTGATCTTTCAATGTGCAATAAATTATATTTTAAATGTGTTTTTAATCGAGGGTGTGTGCTGGTGTGTGTTTTTTGAAGATGAGACAACTTGTCATCCACAAGACACATGGGATGCATCAATCATCCATACATCATTAAATGAAATGTAACCACTGAAATCAGTCGGCTTGAACTGTACGAGCGACCGAGCTTGGAAAACCTGAAAATGTATTATCATTATTTATTATTATTGTTTGAATGTGAGGAACAGCCTCAGTCTCTAGGTGAAGAATTAGAACCTAAACATCTACAGTACTGCAAATTCCTGTATTAATTTTCTAAAAATTCCAATTAAAATGTGTTATGTTTTATGATTACGACTACATTTAATGTGTTTTATAATTTTATTGGAGCCTCACCTAATGCAATAAAAGCAATTCTGTTTGGGTGATGCTAAATAATTTACGATCTGAACTGTTACTGTTGTTACATAGTCAAAAAGCCATTTTATTCTTGATTTGTTCATGATTTATATTCTAACTTTTAACATTTTCTATTTTCTGAAATAATCAGTTTTGATCATATGATTCAGTTTTATGTTTCTTTACCAAAATCACAAAATGCAAACAAAAAATGAAGCCAGCAGGATTTTCCGGATCATTCACTCTCAGATCAGCTCTGACCACATGGTGGTAGCATTGACTCAAACTCCTCCAGACAGAGGAGCAGCAGACCTTACAGAGAGTCTCCTCTGGAAACATATATCCACATCTTTCTATTGCATACATTGGATTTGCATTTTGCAGAAAACTAGATGTTGGGGGAAGTTATGTTAAGGTCATGGATGTTATCACTTACTAATGTTAAATTAACATAGAACCATGTGGGTGAGTTAGAGTTGTTGTCTCTGAACAAAGTGGAGCCCGCAGGAGCACGGAGCCTGCGCACCTGATAAACTTCAAGGCCTCGAAGCTGGAAAGCAGAGTTGTCTTGACCTCGCCTCTGTCTGATGACAGGTATTTAAGCTTTTCCTTTTCCTCTTTGTCCACGGGTAGACCTCGTGACCGGGGCTTCGTATAACACCTTTGTAAGCCTGTTTTCAATGCTGCACCCCTTGCAAGAAGTAAACCTGTATGGAGAAGATCTTCTTGAATTGTTGTATGTGGCTTATTTAATTAATGAGTTGTTGATAAGATAATTAATTTATACAACACTGCACAGGAGAACAAATCTACTACTGTGGTTAGAATTTTGAAGTTCTAAACTACAAACATCCACTGCCTAGAGCCACCCCGGGGCTACAGGTTGAGACCCCCAGGTTAGGGTAAAGTTATAAAGATGGCACGTTTTCTGCAGGAAATTCTCCTACTGGTCTGCATTTAGACCCGTTTCATTCAGGAGCAGATTCAACAATATCAAAACTTTAATTTATATTTGTACAATTTAATGGATTACAGCAAGCATCCCTGTACATTTATCAAAAATAAACCTAATAAGTAGTCTCTCTTCTCTTTTCTGCTGTGAACAAACTGTTGATGAACTGTTTTATTTCAGAAAGTGTTGATCTACAGAAAAAAAAAGATTCAATTGTGCTCTCCAAAAAAATCGGTTGATAACTTCTGCTCATACTGCGAGTGTATATTTAGCTTTTTTCCCCCAGTCATGCATGTCTGTATCCATACATGCACAGGTATGCACATGCACGTACAGTATATCTGTGTGTACGAATTATACTGGCTGTTGCTTTTCCCATCTGCTGAGCTGCACTGAGACTCATTTATCTCAGTTATCCAGACACTGTCAGAGCTCCATCTGTGAAAACTGTAAACACACTGACTCACACTCTCTAAGTGACTGCCGCTGACACAAGACAAGAAAGCACTGCACAATATAGAGTGTCTACACACACACACACACACACACACACACACACACACACACAGAGGGCTACAGTTACTGTTTGTTTTCATCTCGTTAAAGTGACAGAAGCCTGACAACTTCTGAAAGGAGCTGAATAATAGTTGTGTTTTGTCATGTTTTCATCCCACTAATGGTCCAGGTCGCTTCTTTTACATCGAGTCTGTGAGTAGATGAAGATATCAGAGCTGTTTGCTGTTAAGTGATCCACCGCAGAGCGATAATACCTCGGTGTCTGTTTTGTTATTTCAAGTGTTTCCTCTATCAGACACTTAATAGACCTTTAATACTCACTTTAAATCCTTGTACTGATCGTAACCAGTGGATACATATGATTCATTTAAATCAAAGTTAGGATCCAATTTAACTCAGTTTTGAAATCAAAGTGAAGCTGCATACCACAGAGCTTACATAAAGCTTGCAAAGCATTTAACATTAAAAAAAAATTCTTAAATAAATTTTTGTTTCATCACTTTGACAGATCTTTTGTTTGACTTTTGATAAGATATCCAAGTTGTGTTAAATTAATTTTGTTTATAGCGTTCAGTTTTTTTGCGCAACATGATTATCAGTGAGATATGTCCAATTCCTCTGCTCAAAGAGCAAAATGAAAAACCGACTTTGAGAGAGCATTGGATTATGTCAGGGCTTCATGGAAGTATTTGTTTTTTAAAGGATAAATGCAAAAGGGAGAGTGTTCATCAGAAATGTGTGGTCTCCATTGTAAAGATTTTGTGCTTACAGGTCATAGTTTGCAGTTATGAATCAACTTTTGTTACCTTGTGAATAAAACGCATGGGAAAACAGGCTTGTACGTGCATTGAAAACAATGTGTCTTAAGAAAAATAAGAAGTGAAGCCACAAGAAATAGAAATAGTTTTTTTTTAATAATATTTGTTTGAAAAGAAAAAGCTGAAATATTTATGCAAAACTTAGAACTCGGAGTTCTACCCAAATATTTTGTGTTTATAGAAATGGTTAAACCAGAGCCCTGTAAAGAGAACTCTCTCTTTACAGGGCTCTGGATTGTGTGTGTAAAATTTACACTGTGAGTTCTAACCCTGTGTCGCTCTGTGGCATGAAAACTTCTACTGCAGTAACTATTTTAAGTTATTAGTAGCTAAGAATTCTTTTTTGCCTTAATTTTGGTCGATATGACAGAAAGGCCTCACTAAATACTTGAGGTAACACCGTGAGCGTCACTACCTCCACCATTACAGATATCTTGTTTGTTAGTTTGTCCGAGGTTAGCTCCACCTGGGTTACATTTCCTCATGGGCGAAGCAAGCTTACCGTTCATGTAAAATATTTAATAATGTTCATATAGAAACAATTACTGAATGTTGGTCATACTGTATTAATGCTACATGTTTGTCTCTTGACCTGACAACTGGGTAAGGTTACAGTAGGCCTAGCTCATTATTGGAGTTTTAATTAGGCATTTGAAGCTACAAATAAACATGATGGATGATGATCATATTGCTTTATGCTAGGCCATTGGTAAGAAGGAGTGATTATTGTTATTGTTTCATATTGACGTGTGATTTTTCTTCCTAAAAGTTAACTTAGGCTACACTACGGTATGTTTCTTAGACTGTGGCTAGGATGCATGAGAGAAGTGGTGCGTACTCTATTCACACAAAGAGAGCTGTTGGTCAGGTTACTTCTTGTTGTGCCATTAACTCTAAAATAGTTATTGAATCAAGTGTTACTTGTGTAGGCAAAACTAAATGTTAAACAGCCTGTTAAAATACACCAGAATGCAGGAAATGGCATCTACTTTATTCAAAATTTTCTGGGGGAGGACCCCCAGAACCCCCCCCCCCCCCCCCCCCACAGTGGACCCCCCTCCCCCAAATTACATTAAAAAAGAGCTTCTGACGCCAATGTTCAGTACATAGCTCAAGCCGAAAGCCATTGTCAGTACTG